GTCGGGAGAGGGGGAAGACTTTCGAAGCGTCGTCCTGTAGAGTTGTAGGTTTCGACCACAGGCAGTTGCTGTCCATTGGAAACTTAGATTCATTATGAATACTCTGCCTAAATATCCTATCAAAGATTATTAATATGTATATTTTTGGGTAATATTAGTAATATGTATATTTCATAAAAAATTCCACGTTTGAATTTGTTATACTTTCAAGCACATTGTAATACATAATATTAAGTAAGGTGTGTAATTTTCATTATTCAACCAGTAATCTTAAGCTAATTTTGACCAAGTAGAAAATCTTATAAAATTTGCACCGTACCTATATTTTAAATGATAGCGCTGCAGATGAAAGCGATACGGTTTAGATTAGTCTGAACAGGCCAAACATGGCCAAGTGTTAAGAATGCTGGAGTGAGATCTGGGGGTCCATCGCTCGTGTCCTATTACAGGAAAAAAATCACGCTTTTTGACAGTGGGAATAATGATCAAACCCAACTATTCGGTCAGACATTTCAAAATTAGGGACGGCTAGCGCATATAGCCCTTGAGCAGCTGTTCTCGAATATATCTAAAAATGCTAAATAATTTTAAAATACTTTTAATAAAGAAAAGGTTTGGGAATTGAATCTCTTTATTTTAGAATATTTCAGTTTGTATTTCCAATTTTAAAACTTCGTTTTTAATTGAACTTGTAGAAAATATCTCAACACTGATAACCACATTAAACAGATTCTCTTACGAAATTTCTTACTCTAAATACCAAGTGTGATCACAAACGAGAAAAAAGGCAACGCAAAGTATTAGGGTAACGTGTTTAGAACTTAAAGGAATGTGTTTATTTTCTGTTACTTATTTTTGATTGGTTCATGACATTTACTAATACACTACGCAAGACATTTATTATATTTTTTCTACAATTACGTGATAAATGTATCATAAGAAGGAAAACAATATTTTAGACTAAATCATTGTTTTCAATTACGTAAATAAAATGTCGTGAAATAGAGAATGAAACTTATAGTGACTAAATTAATACACGTTACATATATCGCACTAAGAACAATTCATTTTGATACCATATATTCTTGAATTAATCAAAGACCAAGAAAATGTTCATTAAAATATTTTCATTATCTCCAAAACAAAATTGCATGGAGGGTGAATATTCTAATAAATAATATTGTAGAAATAAAGAACAAATACGAATAAAGGGAAAATTAAATGGTTGTGCATATATATAATTTAAGTACTCTTCACTAAATAAATTAATTGTCAAAAAATATATGCAACTGTGAAACATATGTGTATCTTCTGTGTATAGCACAGTTTTAATAGACTGTACCTGAAATGATAATATCCATGTTACAAGAAATAGGATAAATTAAGTTTCAGTATGTATTTTTCTATAATATTTTATTTATATACATGCTGTTTCTGCTATCGTGGAAAATAGTCCAAACCGACTGACATTAAAACAGTATAGTCCCTCTGGCTCAGCGGTAAGTCTGAAGGTTTATAGCGCTAAAAACCGAGTCTCGATATCCGTGTTGGGCACAGCAGTGATAGCCCATTGCGTAGCTTTGTGCTTAATAACAAACAAACAACTATAATCTATATATATCTTTTTTTCAGTACCTCCCAGAAGAGTGTTCATTGTTGACCAGGACGAAGAAACGGTCGAAAGTTCAATTGAAAGACTTCAAGAAGGGGACACTATTGCCCTTACCTGTGTGTCTGTGGGCGGTAGAGTTTATTTTGTTATATAGATAATGCCGAAATAAATATAGGAACATAGAAAAGTATATTAAATAGATGTTTTCTCTTAACGCCTAATTTTACACATCTTGGTCAATTCAACACATGTCGTATATCAGGTGTAAAATAATACGTTTTTTCAACTGTTGGTAACCTTGCTGTACTACATTAATCGTGAAACTTTAGTTATGTGGATGCACCTTCATTGGTTTTGAAAAATAAACTCACAACGCAGAATATGTGAAGAGAGCTTTCTTCAGGGGTTCTAATTTTAAGTTATTGTAACACATACAATGTCTTTTCTGCCTTTAACTTCTCATAATGAACACTAGTTTAGCAAAATAAAACTTGAAAAATGATCTTTGGGTTTGCGTTGCCAGAAATATAAGTATTTGAAATAATTAATTTTCTATTTTTAGAATAACTTCATGAAATATTAACGTAGCCCATGTTCCCTTTAAGTTTAAGAGGAATATACCTGTCATATATATATATCTCGTTTCTAAAATAGATGACCTTATTTCAACATAAATAACAGACTCCTATTAATTAACAATGAACTTTACTTCTCAGGAAAGCCTCTTCCTAACGTCACCTGGTGGAAAAATTCCAAACTGTTTGATGATTCCTCAAATATAGTTTCGAGAGATAAAATCAGGAATGAGCTTGTAATTCAGAGTTTACAAAGAAAAGACGATTCTTCGAGTCTGACGTGTAAGTCATCGAACAGCAATCTGACATTGCCTGCAAGCAGCACAGTTATTGTAAAAATGATCCGTTAGTACCTATTTATCTTCACTATTTGTTTGTTGTGTGTGATAATGTTAAAAATTTTAGTGCGTTATTTGTATTAGCTGAAATAACATATACTTAATTTTTCCATTCTAAATTTTGATGTTAATGGCCAATATTTCCAGGTCTTCCAGCTACAATCACGCCTACTGACCTTAACGTACCAAAAAGTTAAGACTAGTATTGTATTACTTTACTAGCCGTGGGATAGCGGCCCATATAATGGCTACGATTTTATTTTATTTTTCAAGTACAAACTTTTATCTGTTAGCTCGTCATCTAGTTGAGATCTAACTGAAGTTTTGAACTCAGGAGGTCAAACCCTTTCGATTGATGTATTTTCTCGCTCCCAAGATGTTATAGATTAATTTACACTAATCCTACCTAAAAAAATTTCAGTTTGAGGGTAGGCTGGTAGAAATTCTTACGAGTAAAAAAAAATGGAATTGGGTATACGCGCGCAGCACTAAAATATGGCTAATAAAAAGGAGGGAAAAGGTCTCATAGATTAATTTACTCTAATCTTGCCTAAAATAATTTCAAATTGAATTTCACTGAGGCAGGATTAATGTAAATCAATCTATAAAACCTTGGATGTGATCAAAGGATCAATCGAAAGGGGTTGACTTCCTGAATTCAAGACTGTAATGTGATGACAGGGCTATGAGCTAAAATGTATGCTTCAAAAAACTCAGAACAGTTCTGTGAGCCGCTATGCCTTGGCTAGAATTGCTTATAAGCAGAACAATGATAGACAGGCAGGAAAACATATGCAAGACATAACTCCGACAGGTGGAGGAAATAATGTAAATTATATTTGTTTGAATAATTATTTCATCTCACTGACTTTTGAATAATTATTCTATCTTATTCACATATCAAACTGAGATAACTTATGTTCAACTCCGGAATATTATTAATTTATATTAATTCTTAAATTTGCTCAGATGCGATTTAGTCATCTAATTCTTTTCATTCTTAACATATCGTCAACAGTTAAGCCATTATTCGTGAAGATAATTTCCCCACATCATCCTTTAAGTGCTGGCCAAAGAACTCAGCTCCAGTGCCATAGTTACGGTTCTAAGCCAGCGGCTCATATCTCCTGGTGGCAAGGAAACAAAGAACTTACTACGTCAGCAATAACTGCGAAAACAGATAATTCCACTTTCAGCAAACTGAGTTTCACCCCATCTGTTGAAGACAACGGAAGTTACTTGTCTTGCCGAGCAGATAATCCGGTGATACCAAACAGTGGCTTAGAGGACGGGCGAATATTGGATATTCATTGTAAGTTACCGTCTCCCGTAACTTATTTGAATGAAGTAACCAAGCTATACATTATGTCTTAACAAACAAACAAACAGTTATAAGTAAATAATTACTATCTTACTCAGTCTTAATCTTCTGACTATAGGGTGATAGGGCTAACAATACAAGGACAAAATTGATTTCTTCTTCTTCTTCTTTTTTTTAATTGAAGATCTCCCACAAACATCCTTGACGCCCGAGACAGATGCAGACTTGAGAAACCTTATCGAAGGAGATGAAATTTTCTTGAAATGTGTCACAAAAGCAAACCCGGCGTTGAAGAGATTGGAGTGGATAAAAGATGATCGTGTGTTACAAAAAAATCAAAGTGAGAATATCGTTATAACCAATGCAACTTTGGAGATAAGGAGTTTAAAACCAAAAAACAGAGGAAGATACCACTGTGCAGCTTATAATGATGTAGGACGAGCTGAAAGTAATAGAATTACTCTTAACCTGAAATGTGCGTAACTGTTGTGAATTACTAAGTACTGTGAATAAATAGAGTATTATATATTATTGCTCACATCAAAAATACTCTAAGAATCATCAAGCTACAAAGGAGTTATTTGTTCAAATTCTATATAATTTCATGTTTAAAAATTAGTTGTTGTGTTTGTTTTATAGAAAAGCCACATTGAGTTATCTGCTGTGTCCACTGTAGAGATAAACCCCCGGATTTAAGCGTTACAAATCTGTAGACTAACCACTGTCCCATCGAGTGATAGCGGCCTTGAAATTTTTCAGTTAACTGTTATTCGTAACCACCTTAGGGATAAAATGTTTGCCTTTGATAATAAAATTTATTTTAATGATCAGAAACGAGATATTAATGAGATATCGTCTGAAAAACGCATATTTGACAATTTAAAAGAGTGGCCAAAAATTATATTTTTAGCTTGAAAATAACACGGTACTTAATTACGATGTCTGGGAAAGGAGTATATATATATATATATAGGTATATATGAGTTTCGTCGCAGGCAGTGGGGATGCATGTACCCATAAAAAGACTAGCTATCGAATAGAAGAGACTTGATCTTATGTTACTAAAAGTCTGGAAATGTGACATGATACATAAGGATAAACATTCATAGGAAACATTTCGTGACTGATGTTTTCAGTACTGACCTGCGACTACGGGCTCTTGAAATCCGCGACCCCTTAGATGAAACAATTATGATATGAATGTCTATACTATAACCACTAACTCCAAAATTTACTGAAATTAACTCACGAAGACATCTCTGATGAGTGTCGCCACTTGCGATGTCTTTACTTGCAGAATGCATTCGATAATTATTTTGATAATACTAGTTGTGCTGTGCGCAGTATAGAAGTCATATCGAGCTACATGTTATAAAATGACAGATAACATCAGGTGTTTTTGTAACTTTTGAAACTGATGCTATAGTTTCTGTACAATATGTAAATATATAATATATATATATATATATAATAGAAACACTGTCTTTTGTCTTTACTGTAGGTATATATGTTCATGGAAAAAGAATAACTCTAGAATGCCCAAAACATATTATTTGAGCTTATGATTATGAATATGTACTTAAGAGATTAGACTTACTGGTTATGTTAAATCCATATAATAATTTTAAAAACTTATTAACTTACTAATGTATATTTAAACAATATTTTAACAACAGTTGCTCCCATCTGTGCCCAAAGGAAACAACAAGAATTCAGAGTTATGAGAAACAGCAGCGTAACACTAAAATGCTTGGTACATGCCAACCCTTTTGACCTTAAATTTCAGTGGTACTTAAAAAGTTCTGCAAATATAGAAGAAGTGAACGGATATAAAGAGAATATGACTTTAAACACTTTGGTCTATACTCCATCAAAGGATTCTGATTATGGAGTCATCATCTGTCAAGCGAGCAACAGTATTGGTGTTCAACAAGTACCATGTGTCTTTCACCTTCTTCCGGTAGGTAGGTTAAGTTCTTTGCTGGCATTTTATAATTTAAGCATGTAGCTTTAATCTGCTTTCTTTCTAATACAACTGATAATAACTTGAATATCCGTATTTATAAATATAATTATTTAATGTTCATACTGCGATTGAAACCAGGCAATTCAATAAAATACTCAAAACATGAATGTTGGTATTAAAAAAAAAAAGAAGAACGGTCAGCACGAGTATTCAAAATATATATATAGATTTTATTTGTTTACTTAATTACTGTAATGATCTTATAAAACTGTGTTTAGATTTTGTTTTAGTTTCTTCACGTGTAGTTACAAAAAGTTTTAGTTGGTGTTATTACTTGTTTAAATCCATTCAGTTCATATTCTTATGATAAAATATCAGTATTGAAAAGAAAAAGAGAACGAGATGAACAAGTAAAAAATGAAACTCAAATAATGTTGTTTTTACAACGCTATGAAACTAGACTAGAGTAAGCAAACGTATTAATATGACATGATTTATTTTCTTAAATCATAAACTAAGACAAATGTTGACAATCTTTTTCAGAAGGGAATTTCTCAGTTCCTTTTGATTTCTCGAAAGATATGAAAGAACTATACCATTATGTTTTTAGTATCAATTTTTTCATACAATACCATAAAAATGGCGTTTTAAAGTAACGTGAGCTATTTGAATCTGGTTTATACTTATCTACACATTCTGTAATGATGTTTTTTGTTTACTAATAATTTAGATTTATTCTCGAGTGAACTTAAAACATGGACTGAGTTTTGACAAGCAATATATGAATTGTTATTTATGTTATTTTTCTCGTTGTGTGCATAAAGATTGGAGAAGAATGCGATCCCAGTATTAGTTGAGATGTAACAACTATACACATAAGTTACAGATCATTACAAAGAGATCACTTTGAGTGCTCAACCCCATATGTTACTGTCCTATGTAGAGTTAAAAAAAAAACTTTAAATGAAATCCTGAATTAATTTTTTTCTTTAAATAAGAACTTTTTATTGAAAATGTACATTGCAATTCTAAAACTATTTTCCTCGATAAATGACCTTTCTTTTTTTTTCAGGCAAACCCGATTTTCTGAAAAATTGTGTTATTTTCGACCAGTCAACCACTGGATTTTCTGTTCATTGCCAGGACGGTTACAACGGAGGACTCAACCAAACTTTCCACATGGAAGTGTATGAAGTAACAGCAATGGAGCATAGACTCCTTGCTAACATAACACATGACACGATACCTGTGTTTGGAATTCAGACATTACCGTCAGACTCGACCTTTAGTGTTGTGTTGTATGCTTCAAATAATATTGGGAGAAGTAAATCAGTAATTTTGAGAGCACGTACAGCCTCTGCAAAACAAGAACTGAAAGGTAAAGTGTATGTGCAAATTCATTTGCGACAACTACCAGATTGAAAACATTATTAATTTTCAAATATCAGTTTATTTCATTTCATGATATGAAAACATTCTGGTAAGATCATTACAAATGGAGAATCTAGTTTAATAGCATTTATATATATGAGCTAACTTAGTTAGGATCTAAGATTAAGCATTAAAAATGAAGCAGATAATTAGTCACAAAATTGATATATTGTCCAATACGATATTTAAGAATTTCAAACTGATAATAACTCAGTTATTTTCTAATGTATAATTAAATATGCTTTCTTCATTTTACAAAATAAACTTACATTTCAACATCAAAACTGTTGCATGTAAAGTAAAAAAAAAAGCGTAACTGTTAAGAGCAGAGAATATCACAAGTAATACAAACATCAAAACAAAAAATATAGCAAAGTACATCAACAGTCCAGCCATTAACAAATTTCATGAAATAATTGAATGAAGGGGCACTTTATCCTGTTCTATTATTTAGTTAATAATTATTCAATGCGTTTTGCTACTATACTCCAGCTGTAACTGTATTTGAACTACTGTTATTGTTACTGGCAGATTAAAATGCTATACCTTTTGTCAACAATTACCAAATCGGCCTTGCCTATCCTGCTATCATATCTTTAAAATCAGCCGTCGGCGTACCAGTGATGCACAAGCCCTGTGCAATAATATACAATTACTTTCATTGGTTATGTCAACAAAGGATACTTCACAGTGTACAGCACAATCATCTTCCACCCTCGTTTAATTTTTGTGGTCAATTTTCTCCGTTTTGGACAAACTAAGAATTTCAAAACTGGATACATGTTGTTTTTTTATTTTATTTCTGACATTGTATTGTTAATATTAATTTTTGTTTGTCCGAAATAATTATCTATTTATAATAATTAATAATTAATTTATCTTCATTCGAACTCATATTTATATATACAGTTATAAAAGAAAAGGTAATATGTACCTCTAATTAACACAGTTGGAAACTGATGTCTCATTGCAACGCATTATATCTTATTTTTATCTATGCTATTAACTTTTCAGATGATTCAGGTGACATCGAAGTCCGCCTGTTAGTGGCCGCAATTGCTGGAGCTGTTGCAGTTGTTATTATTCTGACAGCTGCTGGGTTTATCATTTCCCGATATTATCGGAGGCAACAGTCTCAATTTTCAGGTTTGTTATAAAGTTTCATAAACAGAATAGTACTTTTAAATCGAAATAAGGCACGTGGGCACAGAGCCGCAAATAATTCACGTATGCTTTAAATAAAGGGACGAGAAGTCACGTTTATATCGACTAACCAACAACTTGGCTGTTACTAATCTACTAATTTGAATGTAAATACTAAAAATTGTTTGAGCAAATTATAATTATCATTATTTAGTTTTTAAGGTATGGAAAGAAAAATACAGATTTTTTTAATTATTTGAATCAAAGCTCAACCATAAGTTAATGCTAGCATACACGTCTTAATGAAAATAAATTTGGCACGTTTTTACGTGTTTCAATATCAGAATAATGCCTTTTAGTTTTGTTAAAAAACTAAATTATGTGGTTTATAACAATAGAAAAAATAGATGAAAGTGAAGTTGCACACACTGAAAGAGTGGGTTAAATACGTTCACTTATTGGATGTTTTTTTCCTTCAAACATTTTTAATATATATATATATTAACAGCAACGACAATAAGGATAAAAACGAAATATTTGTAAAGTTTAACGCCTTTTAGATTGGTATTTTGTAAGTAGAAATGCAAATTTTAATATACATATTTTCAAACATGATCTAATATGACATTTCTCATGCAACGTTTGTAAAATTACAACATTTAAAAACAGTATACTATTTTTTTAGTTAAAATAGGGGGCGAGTTAAGATCTTTTTAATGCTGCATGACATATGTGCAGTAGATGAAGCATATATATTTCTTGCATATACGTCAATAAAAAGCTTCATCTGTCCAAGGTTACCCACGGCAATATTTATTAGATATAAAATTATACTGCTAAGTACACTTTTACCAGTGTTGGCAATCTGCATTCCTTTCGCTTGAGTTGATCGAACAGCCATATTTTATGGTATGTTCAGCCCATGACTAACTAAGCACCCTGCAGCAGCGGATCTTTCTCTGCGGTCCTTCCAATTACATCCTGAATCCGATGCTCGCTTGCCTCGAGTATTATAACCAGACTGTATAATTTCTGAGTGGTAGCGCAAAATGTATACGCTTTAATTCCTGATGCATATCTGATGACAGAAATTTCCTTTTCTAACGCGTGGTGGTTTTCAGAGATAAGTTTTAATAGAGAATCGGACAGTTGTCTCTGACAGCATATTACAGAAAGCGGTACAATTTATGTAGGCTAAACTTATCTCAAAAGCCAAAGGCAACACTACTTAATTGAGTCGCAAAAACGCAAAAGATAAGATGTTGGAAATAATGAAAGAAAACTGATTGTGTAAATTATCTAAAATGTGTTTCAATGTGAAGCCATAAAGTCAGAGACAGAGATAAATTTCCGTTTACATTTTGTTCAGATATAATTAAACGTCATTTAAATGTAACATATTTCTTAAAATATATTTGTGTATGTTGGGATGATATGCATGGTCTGCCAGTATCATGAAAGTAATTTTTCTTCTTAATATTTTACTAGCAACACGAAATAGTAATATCGAAGGTGAACTGCTTTATCAATATATTTACTTTCGAAAGTTATGACTCCTTATTTTATCGTGATGAACAGGACGATAACAATTATCTTTCTTAAAGCTATCTTCGTAACAAACATTTTTTTTTTTTATAAACTCAGTATTACCAAAACTATACATGTTACTATTGATGACAAGTTTATAGCATTTATTTACATCATTACCAGTAAATAGTTCTTAAATTCTAACTTTATGGTTGAACATATGAGCCTGCACTTCTACTGATACTTGTTTAACATTATTGTAAGGAGAATTAATGAAATATGTTTGATATTTTGGTAGCTCTTAACATTAAACTCTAATTATCACATGTTATAATCCTTACACGTGCAAGCTTACATTGTGACATAAAGACATGTATATTCATTTTGATTGGATTTCAAGTGTTCTGGACTAGTTACGTATAGCATCAAATATTTGTTTTTGATGGTAATAGAATGTTTTTTTACGATTCATTTTACTTTCAGGTCAAGTGGAAGAACCCCACAGAGATGAGTAAGTTCCCACCAATTTATACATTATTTACCTTGCTTTTCAAAGAAGTACAAAGGCACTGGGGGCTAAAGAGCGCTAACGTCCTTTTTAGCAAATTTCATTGTTTCAATCTTTTTTTTTCTTGTTTGGGAAAGAAAAAAAGATTCATTTTGTCGCTATATGGGTTTTCTCAAGTGATTCTTCCCCATTTCACGGAAAGTTATTTGTGGTGTTACTAACAAATTGAACTAAATATGACCATCAGTCTCGTAGAGGTATGAACGTAATAGAGTCTCTTACTGTTATCTTTTACAAATCATTAGTATTTTTAATGCTATCAGGTCCTTGTTAAACAAAGTGTTCACTTGTTAATAACTTTGATGTAACTTATTTTATGATTGTCTAATAGATACGTTTAATGTAAATTTGCTGGACATTTTAAGCCTCTTTTTTTAATCTCAGGTAGTCTCGAAGACCTAATGAGACATAATAATATCTTGATTCAACGAAGGTACTAATGTGATACTTGAAATGATATCCAAATGAGGAGAAGTTTTTGTTACTTGAGTTACATATATAAAGTACGTTCATAGATGACATATTGGTTTTGTCAAAGCTAATATTTATATAAGTCAAGGAATTTAATGCAAGAGATGTAAAGAAAAGCATTATAAGTTAGTCTTGTTCTGAACAATGTTAGCTGACTCTACTGAACAGTCGATGTATTTTTCATCAAACGTCTTGCATCAAATATCAACATGAGTATGATATTTTTATACCATTATACTAAGAGCAATAACATACTTAAAATGTGCTTGAGAGAACAATATGTGTAAATTAAGCATTGGTATTTTTCCAATTGGTGAGATGTTTTATCATATATGTAATGGTTAATACCACATCAGATATTTTATCAGAAGAATGATCCAAACAGTTTTTAAATATAACAAAATATCAACTATCTATCTAAAACAGAAAAACTAAAAAGTAATTTATTTTCCCAGGAATGATATTTCTTATGCTATAATAATGCATCATTATAAGCGTTTTCTGTTAGTTCAGAATTATGTTTCTATTTAGAAATGTTAATTTTAATTCGGGTTCTCGCTTTTACATAAATTAAACAATTTTCCTTGTTATAATAGCAATTTATCTTATTTCAAGTCAAATAAGGTGTTGTTAGGAAGAAATTGCGGTTTTCATATAAAGTTTGGGAATTGAAATTGTCTGAATTTTAAAAATGATAAAGTAACATGGAAATAGCAGATCATCAAATCCAGGTCCCCTTTTCTCTGTATTCACGTCAAAGTGGATTTGATGCGAATTATTTTGTTTTACCAAACAATTGTTTTCAGGTTATTTCCTTTGCAAGAAGTTAGTCAATTATCGATTCCTGTTTCTACTGTGAGAACAATAACTGGATTTAGAGAAATGGTTCCTGTAGGTGAGTACTGAAAATGTTGATACATGTATGTTTGTAGTTTAACGTAAAATTATAAATTACTTTACGAAAGCATTCTAGATAGATTCAATTAAATGTAATAAAAAATGAACAGTTATGTTACTGTGTAATACGAAGTAACCAATTGTTCCGATTTAGTGGAATTAAACATTAAAATGAAATCGCATGATATTTCCTACTGTGTTTAAGTATGTTAATATGTTTTAATTAAAAATAAAAAAATAACTTTCTACCTGTTCTTTACAGTTGAGGAAGTAACACTGCTTAGACAAACAACAGAAGCAGATATCACACAGACGGAGCAAAGACCTTAACTTTGTATTAGATATTGACAAAGGATGGACCAAAAAGAAAGAATTTAAGGTGAGACTAAAAATATAAGATTTTATGTGTTAAGATGTGGAATTTCATATAGGTTGTTTTAATATTATAATTGCCTAATTTATGCTACCCTATTTTGTAGTCAATATAATGCTTTAAATCAAACAAAAAATACATTTTCAAGGAGCGTCATGTATGTATTATAAATCTATGTGAAGAAATGTACAAATATAGAAATAGTGCTTATTTTTTCGTCATATGAAAGTTTTAATCTTCGTAAAAATATTCAAGAAATTAAAGGAGAATTTCAATAAAAAAGCGGTTATGATTATTTGAAGAGATATGGAAAGATGGGTAATAAAATAGTAAAGGCGTACGATTGCAGTACAAAAAGACAATTAGGAATTTAAACTTAGGGAATGAAAGCAATGTAATAAATTTTATAAAAATAAATCATAGAAACGTCAACGTCATTTTCTCGTGAAGGTTTTGATAACTATGTACTCATAAGGTAAGGTTAAACTACCATTTATATGATATCTTACCACTGTAAATTTTCAAAAGAAAATAATGTAGTAAAAGTTATTTACCATGCAAATAAAATAAGAACTCAGTAAGTTTAACTAATTGTTATGCAAAATATAAGGTTGGAAAAATAGATTAAAATACTTGTATTAATTGGTCTCATAACATAATCTACATGTATATTATAGATACTGTCTTTCTGGCTGAAAGTAACTCCATTGGATGGTGCAAACAAATGTCAAAGTTTTTGTTTTTTATCTCTTCCGACGACAGAGATATAATTTTCCCTCCTGTGAGTGAGAACAGTATAATTCAAAAATTTTTGGTCAGATTTGGTGCAAAGGTTTCTTGTCCTGCGAGAATTTATTGGTCAAGAACTGACTAATTACGTTTTGTTGAATGTGGTACAAAGAGAAAAATCACACTTGAGATCAACCACGAGACTTTCAAAACCATGCTAAATTTGAGAACAAATCAAGATAGAAAGGTGATCTTAACACCTACACCTATACATTTGGGGATGAGGAATATTTGGTGTATGTTTTAGGTTGGATGCAGCTAAAGTCAAAAACATTGCTGGGCGAGGGTTGCACTCTATGAGTGCCTTTTTATTTTTTCTCAATCGATTTACCATTCGATAGATAATGCACCAAATTTTATGTTAAAATGCGTTTTCAATACAGTGTGTCATTTTTAATCCTCTACTAACGTTATAATATTGAGGTTGCGCCATTGTAACTGTTCAGGCTTCATTATTTGAATCTGCTACTATATAAAAATGAAAGATACTACTCTAAAGCCTATATTATATATATTTTTAATAAAGCAATTCTCGTGGCTACATAATATACTTTATGAGATATACATATATATATATATATATTTAGGCAAATCCTGATAACTAGGATATTTCCTAAATTTTATAATTTGGTCGCGCTTACGAAGATTTTAACTGCGTACAGTAGTAGTGATTCCTTTGATGTTTTGGTTGGCTAGCTATAAATAGTATTAGTAGGATTAAACCAGTTAACCCTGTAACAATTAACCATAACAGTCTTCATACCAGAGTCACTTTTTTAGACGAATTTTGAAGATAATTGTGTTTTATTATGTGTCCCATGCTATTTAATTATTCACTGATGATACACTAACAACGTGTAGTGTTCAGTATTATCGTAAAACCAAGCTGTTAATTTATAATTCGATATTTTGAGTGAAGCAGCATATAAATAATATATATAATGGCAAGGAACGTGGTTTGACTGGTTTATATTGTTTGTGATACAATGTTAAGCTAGGTAATACGTCTAGTGGCAAGGAACACGGTTTCACTGGTTTATATTGTTTGTGATACAATGTTAAGCTGGATAATATATATCTAATGGCAAGGAACACGGTTTCACTGGTTTATATTGTTTGTGATACAATGTTAAGCTAGATAATACATCTAGTGGCAAGGAACACGTTTTTACTGGTTTAAATTGTTTGTGATATAATGCTAAGCTGGATCTTAAAAATTATTTATTTAAATATTTTTAGGAAAATGACGAGGGAAAAAATAATGGTATGCAAAAGAAGAAATGCTCAGAAACGGAATAACTTACCAAGATGTCCTCTTCATTATACCATTTAACATTACTGTTTCCTTCAAACTACATAACTGCATCACAAACAGTGACTTATTTCATTTTATACATATATATATATATATATATTGAGTCAAGAAATTGAATCACTAACCTATATACGAGATTTATATGTATTTTTGTATAACTAAATCGTACCTTTCATATTATATGTATCATAAAATTCATATCGGTATTAGACTTTATCAATTACTACCCATGGTAGAATTTAAGATAAGTAATAGTCATTTGTAGAAATATCCTCCTTCCAATATGGGAAAATATTTTCATATAATAGACTGATTTTCAATAGAATAAAATATAATTAAATGTGTTAATTCACTTTTGTAGTGCATATTGGTGTATAAAAAAACATTTTAATATTGGTAATAAACGACCTTATAACACCAAATTTTGCTATTTTTCTTTTATTGGACACTCCAGAAAAATAACAAGTTTGGTATTATAAGGTTGTTTATTACTATGATTAAATGCATTATTTACAGTTGTGAAAACTTTCAATAAAAATATTTGTTTTCTGAAGATTTATTCAATGCTGGATTTGCTTAAGGTTAAATTATACTAAACTTAAAACATACAAGTCTAATTCAGACTGCATCTTATCTTTATTTCATATTTTTATCTTCAATTTCAATTTGTGACGAAGAGAAGCAATAAATTGAAGTTATCAGTTAGTTCTCGTTCGTATTTTTATACCTCCAAATATTTAATATTTCATCTCATAATTGTATTATAGATAACTGTTATAACTAAATTGAAATTGTATATTTTAAACGTTGCGTCAAAAAATAATTCTGAATTGTCTACTTAATTATACAAGGGTAGGAACTTTTAAAGACTCCTCTCGTAAGTCTAAATCTACAGTAATATATATCCTCTAATTCAGTAGAGCACGTTGTTATGAACAACCCAATATACCACCAAGATCACATTTAATTTTAGTTGTAATAATGTTGAAAACAATGCATCGAGGATTTGCAGCCGTTATAGGCTGAGGACGTAAAATGTAACGAAGTTTTGGATATACAGAAATTAATTGGGAACTGCTTTATTTACTCATTTTTCAGCATTTATGAAAAATATGGGGGATATAAATACTTTGAGCTCAAGTATTACTGAAAAGTTTCGAGATATATATAGGTAGTTTACCTCTGCATTCATACCACTAATACAGTTTTCATTTGAAAATGAAAATATTTAGTAATGCGTTGTTTAAAACCAAAACTGACGTTATATCTGAAATTTGGATATTTAAGATATAGTTGAGAATTATGTTTTGCAATATAATTTAGTTTGGATTTTAGCCGTGCTTACTACGATAAGACACCTTCATTTATATTTGGCCAAGCATGGCCAGGTGGTTATGGCACTTGACTCGCAATCTGAGGGTCGCCCTTTCAGTCAGAAGGGGTGTTGTAATGCAACGGTCAATCCCACTATTTGTTGGTAAAAGAGTAGCCCAAGAGATGGCGGTGGGTGGTGATGACTAGCTGCCTTCCCTATAGCCTTTCACTGCTAAATTATGGACGGCTAGCGCAGATATCCATCGTGTAGCTTTGCGCGAAATTCAAAACCATTTATATTATAATTATATGGTTTATTTGTTTTGTAATAAAGCCACACTGGAATCAAACCCCGGATTTTAGTGTTGTAAGTCCGTAAAATTACCGCTGCCACCGGGGGATAATTATGTATTTGCACAAAGCTACTCGGGAGATATCTGCTTTAGTTGAAGTGATAGGCAGCTAGTCAATACCACACATCACCAACCCTTGGGCTACTCTTTACCAACGAGAAATGAGCTTAACCGTCACATCTTAACCTCACTATGGTTAAACAATTTATAGCCAAAGGAGAAAACGTTTTTGAAAACAGTAATTTTTCTTTTTCTTTATGGAAGAAGAAAATTCACGCACCAGAATTATTTATGACAGCACTTGGTTCCAAAACTACGCCACAAAGTGAAGAATATGATTACAACACTATTCCAAAAATGCTATTCTAATAAATCCGGGTATATCTTCTGACATAATTTAAGTAATAATAAACAAGAATTTAGAATTGATGAGGAAATACAAGAAAAAGTTTAAAACTTCCATTTATGGATCAAAATCAAACGTCTTTTTTAGGCTTTTGTTCCTTTGGTTTATTAAAATGTACTCAAGTAAATTTGAGAGTTTGTGAACATTTTTAAACAATGTAATCTAAGACTGGTCTTGTCTTCCTTCCCAGAAGCTTATTACAATAGAAATCGCTGAGTTAAGTTAAGTATTAGTGTGTAACCATGGGTATCAAGCTGAGCATGACTGAAAATGAATAAAGTATTTCAAGGGCAGCATGTGGCATAAAACATCAGTCTTATAAAGTGGCTTTCAAGTTTTGAAGAGGCTTCTTTAATAAAAGAAGAAATGTTAGTGAATGATACAGTGAGATAAAATATACAGATATTTTTTCTTTAATATAATATATAAGTGACTAAATGAATAAAGTGTTTCGTCACAAACAGGTAACTTAGCTATCCTTCTATATTTCGAGCTTATACTTATTTAACCCTGTAAAATTATTTTACGAACACAAAAACTGCAACAGATCGAGTTAATTCATAATGGAACAAAAAAAAAATATTTTAAAATACTCTTTTAGTTACGCCCGGTAAGGCCAGATGGCTAGGGTGCTCGACTCGCAATCTGCGGGTCACGGGTTCGAATCCCCATTCTACCAAACATGCTCGCCCTTTCAGCCGTGGGGGTGTAATAATGTGACGGTAAATCACACTATTCGTTGGTAAAAGAGTAGGCCAAGAGTTGGCGGTGTAGTCTTACACTGCTAAATTAGGGACGGCTAGCGCAGATAACCCTCGTGTAGCTTTGCGCGAAATTCAAAACAAACAAACAAACTTTTAGTTACATTAGAATTTGTTTGGTTCTATTATATTTTTATGGCGTAACTAGTTTATTATTAGAATCATTGTATCCATTGTCTCCAAAACTGAGATTTCAAATTTAAAAGAACATTCCTTTGTATAAGTATATAAAATTTCAATAACAAATATTTTCTTTGAAATTTGAAATAGATAAATGTTAGCTTATCAAGATAAACAAATATAATAAACAATAATTTAGAATTGATGAGGTGAGGAAATACAATAAAAAGTTCACAACTTTCACCCATATCTCAAAATCAAAGACTTTTTTGAAGAGAAAAAGACCTTATAACCCCATCTTTTAAACATCTCCATCTATTGCTTATCCTTCATTATAACTGTACATACAAGATTGGGTCCTATTGCTTAGATAATCTCATCCTTTGATATGTGAAATCTGAGCCAAGTTTTATGGAAAATTCGTAAGATCTTTTCTTAAATTATTTCCTTACTTTACCTTCCGTGTCAAGTGGTTAGTGTGCCGACCTACCCCGTTTAGGCCCAAAAAAAGCAATATTGCTCACATTTTGAGGCCGTAAGTGCGTTTTAATAATGATGGTCAAATCTCATTATTCGGTCTCACAGGTGTATCCGAACATTTGTCGGTGGGTTGTATTGGTTTATCCTCCTTCTAGTCTATCATTTCAAAATCAGGAATGGTTAGTTTAGATATCTTTTGTGGAGCTTTGTCCAAAATTAAAGCCAGAGCTTTCCTAAATCAATAAGTAAAATGAAACTTTAGAATTTCGTAAAATATTTATTAAGATTTTTTTAAAACAAATTTGTCTTAGGAATGTCATGGGTAAGATCGAATCAAAAATTTTCTGAAGAAAACAACGTATCGAAAACATATGGAACTATTAAAAATCGGATGGCCAGTTTGTCCTGAATAGAATTTGTATAACATTCTATATTGTTTTATTCATTAATTTTTTTTAGGTTTCATAAATGCAATGTGTGGTTCTTTACATTTATTTTAACATTTTTTGTGTTTGTTTTTCGGGGAAGGTGAGATTAAGAAAAAATAATAACCTGAAACACCATAAGTCATACAATACTGGGTCTAGCACAGCCCCGTGGTTAGTTTGCCGGACTTTATATCTGAATTGCTGTGGATCGCACTACGTTAGCGCCACTCTCCCAAGATGGTCTGATAAGAGTATCGTGTTTGTTCTCTGCCTACCGCAGGTATTGAAACCTGATTTTTAATATTATAAGCGTTCAGACTCATCGCTGAGCCATTTGGGAGAATGAGAAAGCCTGACAAGAGTAGCTCAAAAGTTGGTGTTGGATAATGTTGACTACATGCTACCCCTTTAGTCTATCATTTCAAAATTAGGGACGACAAATGCAGATAGCCCTAGTATAGCTTTGCTCGAAAATTAACAAACAAACAAGCTGCGAGATTTTTCAATATTGTCTAAGAGCGGTCACTTTTTATCTTGCTTTTTTTAATTAAAACAAATCTGTTAGTTAAAAAACAATCATTCTGTATCGGTGTAATGTATGTTAAAATAAAAATTGTTATTCTACGCGATTTTAAACAGAAGCCACATTATGTTCTATCTTAACAAAAGCACCTCAGGTGTTAAAAACAGGTGCTATCACAAAAGGATTGCGCGTGCAACTTAAAGGAATGAAATCAAAATTGGCGGCCGAACTGGTAGCTACTCTTGTATCATTGATAAGAATTTTACAGCAAATATTCAGGTAAGAAAGTGACACACGATAGTAACCAACATTAGCTTCAGGATTATTCAGAACAGACTTATACTTTACAGAACCACCAAGTTTTTTTAAAATATATGATGATAGTTTTCCTCTCTAAAAGAGTGTTAATAACTTCCTTTATATATAGACCAGTTTAACAGTTTCTTGTCATCATCCGCATGCACTTGGTACAACCGTATTCTAACTGCTTAAGCTAATATAACGTAACGCTAAACGCTCTATAGTTAAGAAAATTTCATAAAATCTAGGAAATTTGTGCTTGAAAGTTGGTAATGAATAGAAACCGGCCACCCATATGATTCTTTTGAAAACTTGGCCGAGAAACTGATAATCTAGTTCGCTTGGCCTAACCAATACCTACGTATCTGCAATTGCTTTTACCCTATAGTTTTGTTGCTCTAAATCAGCCGTCTTTAATCCGAATGACAAAAACTAAAAAGTACACCTTTACTCTTATGTGAAGCTGCAGTAAAAAGTTCAGATCGATAGCTTGTGTAACTTTTTGTGTAGGCGTGCTCAAAAAGTGTGGTCAAAATTGAGCGGTTTTTGTTTTTCGTTCAATAACTTTGCACATGTGATTTAGAGTTAGACCAAATTTGACACCTAATTGTAGATTGTAAAGATCTATAAGAGTACCAATTTTGAAAAATCCACGAAAGTTAAGTATGTTTTTCTATCAAATAAA